CACAAGAATCTCGTGTGTGGAGCAGTTAAAACCTTGGGAGAGATGGAAACAGCTCAGAATCATATCTGAAATGGTCCTGAATTGGATTCCACAAAGAGTCCCAGAACATGGTGGGAATCGTTCCAAAACATATGGCGATCATTAGCCAGCTATGTTGCGGTCTTCGTCCCGGGCCTCGACTCAAGAGGTCTAAGCACACACACAGCACACGCAAGCCAGTATATCATCGTATCTCTATATATGACGTCACTACTCACGACTCTTGAAGAAAAAAGGACGAAAACATCCTGCAGCATTGCTGCAGAAAGCTGCCAAAGGACTGCTTGACGTATTGGGACGATGTATAGTCGTGCGATGCGACCACTGTGAGACCACTGTGACTGGGGCAGCTGTCCAGCTGTGGGGGGATGGCAGCTCCTGATCTCATCGTCTCGGGCCGATGTTGCGTGTGTTTGGGGGAGCACAGGATACGTGGGAGAACTGTGGGACCGATGATGGAATACCATCTCCTGATGAAGGCTTCCCTGCTCACGAACAGCAACAAACATCCCAACCCTTGGTCTTCATGTAGCCGAAAAGAAGAGGAACATCCCATGGAGCTGTCCATCAGTCAGTGGACCGCAGGATGGTACTATTAAAACATCGATCATAGATCCAAACAATAGACATTGGACCACCCGGGTTCCAACCTAATATGGCACAACAGGGATTTCAAGTGAGGAAAAATAACATGAATTAATGTACGGATTTAGGAGCAAAAGCCAGCAAACACAGATCCGCAGAAGGTGGATCTGCGTAAAGAAACAATGAGTTCGGTCTAAATCCCGGTCCCAACCATTGTCTAATTACTCAGGAGGTTTCTTCTACCAAACCAGGTCAATCGAACTCTTTTGATGGTCTTGGAAGGCTAAGCTAAGTCATAAATTACATGATTAACAAATGCATATATATATATACATATTCATGTATTATTTACTATATGGTTGCTCTGCACTCTGGACTGCTTTTGCCCCAAGTTTCCTGCCCCACTCCTCGACCACGGTCACGTGGGTCTTGGGAGGTAGCTCATCCAGCCACTGGCGGAGACGACTTCGCACCAGGGACGTTTGAGCCCCGCCGGATCGGACGATTGCTCCTAAGAGTCCTGAGGCATCTTTGATCATTGATCATACACCTATAGGTACGCGTAGGTACCGATTCACTGTTGACGCACCACCGAAGCCATCACCAAGCGACGCACCACGAGCACTCGGCCGCCTCGGAGTCCAAGCTGGGCCCCGTGCGCACGACGCAGGCGTTTTGGCCTGAGTGGACGGAGATGGGATGATGATGATGATGATGATGATGATGATGATGATGATGATGATGA